TATGTATATATATAATATTATATATTTATATGTGGCCCAAGACAATTTCTCTTTACTCCTCTAGCCATAAGGCCAGATACCATATTTTAGAACCAATTTAAAGGGTTATTTTATAACCTTAAAAAGACTGAACTTGGTAACTCACAGGAATCATTTACAGAGAATGTGAGAAGTCTTTCGAATAGCACACAGGAATACAAAGGATAATTAAAGAAATCTCCCTCATTTGAAACTATGGGAAAATATATTGCCTTTTGCACACTTGCTTTTATTTCTTGCCAATTCATTGTTTTGACTCAGCAAACAAATAAAATATCTTAAGATTTATGGTCCAAGGCTGTTTCTAAGGCTCCTGATCTGACACGATATGTAAGACTCTCCCCTAGCACCATCTCATTAACACATTAAATCCAACAACAATACATGAGTTTCAGGGTCTTCCCCGGTCTTGATCAGCTCAGTGCTCTCTGTATACTGTCAGTACCCAGTACCACGCCTGCCAAGTCAGACCCTTCAACTCTGCTCCTCGGTCCCAAATATACCTCCTTAACTGTCCATCTCTGTTTTTTAGTCAAGTCCTTTCCTTTCCTCTCCAAGAATAGTTCATTTCTCTATATGTAAGCTCTGCCAGTTTATCTGGCTCTTTGGCTTTGATTATATATTATTGAACACTTGCCTATAATGCTTTAGTTTTTCTCTGTAATTGAGCTGTCAAATCCTCAAGAGTAGGGATTGATATTTATTTCTGTTGTAACAGCCCTAAAGCCTCAAGTACTGTATAGCATGGTAGATAGATATTAAACATTCTTTTGAGTAATTGAGCATGTTTTTACTATTTATCTTACAAAATCTGTTTCATTGATCTAGAAAATGAATTTGAGTTAAGACAAAATTGCCCTAAGCTTGCCAGATTTAGCAAATAAAACACTGGATGCTTAGTTAAATTTGAATTTTGTGTAAATAAAAAAGCTTTTTAGAAAAAGTAAAAATATATCCCATTCATTTTAGGGACATAATAGTTCTACAAAATGTCTTTTTTAAAAAAATCTAAAATTCAAATTTAATTGTGTGTTCTGTACTTTATGTGGCAATAGATCTGACCCGAGACATGCATAGTTGTACTCATTGTTCTAAATTAGAACAAAATGCCACATTTATGATTTGTCTAGCCTTACACGGCTCTACTTATCAAGTTGTACAGTATAGGAAGTTCTCTCTGTAGTTCCAACTGGCACTAGCAAAAAGGTGCCTGAGTATCCACGGTGTGAAACACATGTCTGTGTTCAAGAGGCAAGGTAAATAAGGTGCCTAACCTACCCTAGGATTTCCTATGGGGCAGCGACAGCCCTTTCCAGCCCAGCCTTTCATGGTGTCAGTGGTGGTACTAAAGCAAGTGATCTGACACAGCCCTACGGAGGAAAGATCCAAGATGGTGCTATACCCTCAGGGTGTCAAAAGGGAATAATACTGTATACACTAAATAGTTCCTAGTTTTGAAGCACTATGTAAATGCTATAATTTCTGATCCTAAATGAATACAATGATTCATAATTTGTTTTGCGCAGCACATTGAAATCTCAGATTTTGATAATAAAATTCAAGTTTTTACTATAGAATATTCTTTTCTTGTTACTGAATATTTAATACCCTCTTTTTTTTTTTAGCAAAAGCAATGAAAATGTAGTAAATGACATGTTTTTCTTCTCTCAGCTTCTTAAATCTTTTACAGGTAAATGCCAAGTTGACTACCAAAACTAAGGGATTTATTTAAGTGATTGTTAGGATCTACTGAGTTTGATTTGGACCTTTCTGCCGAGAGGCTTTGGTCTGAGTCAGCTAAATTCTTACCATTTAATTTTCCTGTAAGGAAGAAGAGGATCATGGGAGATCTGGTTTTCCATGAAGGGCACAGTGTTACCATGACAATGTGTGCAAAGTTTGACCATTTAAACTTTTAATAAACTAATCTTTCTGGCTTTATGTTACATAAATTCAATGTTATTTTTAATATGCTAATATTTAAAAGCCAAGAACAAAAGATGCTTTCTATAATAGCTTTAACTGAAAATGTGTGTTTGTGTAAAAGCATTTCTCACACTTAAAACATAATACAAGCTTTTAAAACATCACTTTAACATACAACATATTGATTTTCAGTTCTAGAACAGGGCTGTGTTTTACCTTTGTTTTCTAATCATGAGCTATTTGTCTCAACCTTGCAATGGAGGCCACTTTAAAGTAACAGGGTGTAATCCATAAAATGATTTTCTTTGGTTTGTTTTTCATACAGCACATGAAATTACTAGAGGAGTCATATTAAAATTTGACAAGAGTATCAGGGGAATTTCAATCAATTCCAATGATTTGCCAATTACTCAGAAGGCTCGAGTTTGCCGAGTCTTTGGAAATCATGAAATCACCATTGACAGTGTGTGCCCAGGTTCTCAGAAATTACCTTGGGTAGCTCTTCGATTTGATTGGCATCCAGATAAAGCTCCTCTAAGGTCCGCTCGAAGTTAAAGACCTCCTTTGGCACCTGCTGCAGGCTGCAGTGGGAGTAGTCTAGCACTGAGATGATTTCCTCTTCACCCCGGAAACATCGGCACGGCACCAGGCGGCCGATGATCTTCCGTTTTGTGTTCATCTCCAGGCACTGCACTAGAGTGGAACAGAAAACAAAGTTACAAGAAATCACAACAACACACACCACCACTAAACTGCTTAATCCGCTGCCTTCCGAAGGCCACATTTACAGCATTGAAATTTAATTTTGGTGCGGTTTGTAATTCTAGAATGCTTCACAGCTTACTTAGGACATGTATGTGTGCTGCACCACTGAATCCCAGTAAGTGAGAGAGGTTTTTCTCCAGTCTAACATGAGAAATGGGCCCAGACAGGTTTATAGTCTACGTCAGCACATGCTGTGGAGTGGCAGAATCAGACCAGAATACACTCCTGGATCAGTTCAATTCTGTTATTCTTTTTTGGTTTGAAATCACCGTTCATTTATTCATTAATATGTTGTCAAATTCAGTTTTCTACACCCTATGGTGCTTATTCCATTTTGTACCATTAGATACACAGATTTAAAAATATTTAACTTACTGAGGAAATTAAATACTTTCTGCAAAAAAAACCATATTCTGTTACTGTTCTCTACCAACAAATCTGATCTTGATTATACTCTCACTTCAAACATGGATCTTATTTACACTTTTAGTTTTTCATGTGGTTTTTCTATAAAATAGAATACTACTCAGCCACAAAGAATGAGAAATTAGATTCATTCATAGGAAAATGGATACATATTGAGGATATACTCCTAAGTGAAATAAATAAGTCACACATGTGTGAATACCAAATAGTTTCTCTGGTGTGAACAAGCTATAATGGCACATAAGATCCTAATGAGATAATTGACCATGTGAAATAGGAAGAAACGGGCTAAAGGTGTAGGGAAAGTGGGAAGGGTAGGGGAAAGGTAATAAGGGAAAGAAAAAAATAGGAGAAAATGAAAAAATGGAAATAAAGTGTTTATAAATGGGGAGGGGAGGAAGGGGTAGAGGGAGGGCAGGGACAAGGGAAAAAAATGAGAACCAAGACCTGTCATGTAAAGGTACAAGATCCCAATGATGAATGTAACTGCACTGTATACCTAACATGCACCAATAAACTCAACGAGGAAAAAAAAATTAAAAAAAAAAGAAACATGGCTCTATAGCATGCTTTAAATTTTACACAAACTCCAGTGTTGAAAGGAAACCTCCAGCATTTTTTAGCAACTCTATTTCTTTTATTTCTGCAAAAAATATTCAAATGGCACTTGCAAATTTCTGAAGCGCTCTTGCTGACTCCCAGATCCATGTTCTCAGGGAATATACATTAGACAACCACTGCTTTCCAGGTACTGGCCTAGGCCCTGCAGGCAGCGGGAAGACATGAACAGGCTCTTCTATTCGAGCTACAGTTTAGAAATGCATGTTGTTCCCTACGGAATGTCAGTCTACCTTGATGAATTCTATCTGGGTGCAAGAACACAGTTTGTATTCATTGTAGAAATTTCCGTGATATCTCTGCCATGTCTTTTTCCTATTCTTCTAGGTCAAAATGACCAACTGTCAAGCAATCGTGTGCAGACTTATATCAAGGCACTTTCAATACTTTACTCAATCTGCTACTTTTCATGTCATTTTCTCCTGGACTATTCGATCCCCGGACTGTGTTTGCTCACTCTTGTATCTCTGTTGGTGCCTGACACATGGTAAATATTCACTAACAACTGTACAATGAGCAAATTAATACATGAGCAAATAAATGGATGTGTTTGGGATTCTACTTCCGATCTCTGTCCTGATCACCCTTTATGGCTGAGTAGTACTGATAATGTGCTTGACAGACTTCCCATGCTAATGAAAAGGTCGCTATGTCTGTTGTGCCCTCAGACAGAAGGACCACATGACTTCCTAATGGTGTGTGCTATTTCTCCATGAATGAGGGAAGTTCTTGAGGGAGATTTTGCCTCACTTACTATGAAATTCACATTACACAACCCAGTTTACTAACCACAGAATTTGTATTCAATGAATATTACTTTGAAACTTGCATTTAACCTATTAATTTATTTTTGCTTAGAATATAAACTCATTGGTGAAGTAGAAAGTAGTGATATTTTATTAAAGACTATGTAGAACTTTGTTTTTTAAAAAGTGATTAGCTTAGGTAAAATTAGGATGAAGTTAGGTAGAATATGTGTAACAGCTGTTGGATTTTCAGCCAAAGGCTGTTCGCATTCCTCCTTTACCTTCTCAAATTAATGAAAGGATATTCTGTGGATACACTGGTGAGGAAGCAATTGTAAACATTTGCCTGCATCTGTAGAAGGCAAAGTAAAAACACTAAAATGATGACTAAAGTACCAACGAACTTATGGGAAAAAATAAATAAAATGTTGACTACAAAGGAGGGGAACCTCCATTATTTTCTATCTATCTCCTATACTTCCCATTTCCAGGAGTCTGAATCACATGATTTGCAACTATGGTTTCACCTGACCTTACCTGGAGTTCTCTATTGTAGAACTGCTGCCTTCCTGCCTCCATTTGGGACTCAGCACCTATTAAGCATCCTATGCATGGCCCCAGTAAATATGTGATGTCTGTTAGGCACCCTAAATGGATGCTGAGAGTTTTGCAGTTTTAAAGGTGGGAGATACGAGCTCAGTTTACAGTAGGAGCAGTAAGAATAAAGAGGAAAGAGGATGGGCTAGGAAGACAGCTGAGCCAACTTCAAAAACTTGGTTTGGACTGAAAGGGAAGTGGGAGGGGAGGGGCTGTGGAGGAAGAAAGGTGAAACGTTTTTAATATGAGTAAGTAATAGTAAGACTGACGACCAGCAGTGAGGCCGAAGACGTGACCCAGGACACACACGCTCTGTACTTCTGGCTCTCAGATGGGTGATGAATCTATTGTTCATACTTCCTGTTGTTCAAAGTCTCACTTGTACTTTTGTGCAGGACCATGCAGCAGTTTCTTAGATCTATTTATTGCTGCCACTGCACATGTTGTTGTTGTTTTTAATAAACAAAGAAAAAGAGAATTTAAACCCTGCACCTGCACTGTTTGGCCAGTATCCACGTCCATCAAAACTTCTGGAATTTAAAGCCTTAAGACTGCTTTTCCTTCCATTAACCCAAAATGTAAGCTTTGTGGTCATCTTCTCTATCTCTTTCCTCATCCTGAACAATGTACCAAACTCATCCCCGATCCCAGCCTCTACCCTCCACCGCCCCTCTGAACTCTGAGATTGCCCCTCCATCATCAACTCCTTCACTGAACCAGCTTCCTTGTACTGAATGCTCACCCTTCCCCTAGCAGATATAACTGACTTCTTCCTGACGTTCTTTATACTGTAACTTTGAAAGATGGAGTATGCTGATTTTTTTTTTTTTTGTATTACATGTTGATTAACTCACTTCTGGGTTGGAAAGAGAGTTTTCTCTCGCTTACTAGCATGTAAAAGCTATTTGTCTTCTCCCGTTCTGTAAAATCTGTTCCGTGGATGGTATCCTTACCTAGTAGTCCTATCTTCCTACTCTTTTTTCATACTATTCATTTACCATTCTCTTGAACACTCTCTTTCGTCCACTGATGGCTTTGGTATATGAACTATTTCTCAATCATAACTCCATCCATGCCTGATCTATCCTCTCTACCTACAAAAAATAAATTAAAATCATTTAGAGTCCCCCCTCAAACCCTAGTAAATTGGTAAGAAATGTTGCAGTGCTTCTCCTTGATTTTGAAGGTCTCTCATATGGAACAAGGTGGGGGTTGGTACTTTGTTAATAATACATTCCCACATTCTTTTGTGGTGGATAAACTTAATTGTGTCAACTTGATTGGCTTGGGAAGGGCCCAAGCATTAGAAAAGCATACTTCTATGGAAATCAGTATGGAGACTCCCTAAAGAGCTAAACATAGAAATCCCATTTGACCCAGCTATTCCCCTACTAGGTGTAAGACATCATACCACAGTGACATATGCATACTCCTGTTTACAACAGCACATTCATAATAGTTAAATCTTGGAAACAGCTTATATATCAACAGATGAATAAAGAAAATGTGGTATGTGCACATAAAGGAGTACTACCCTGCTATAAGAAAAGATAAACGTGTCATTTGTAGGAAAATGGATCCACCTTGAGACCATAATATTTAGTGAAGCAACTCAGACACAGAAGCTTAAATATCACATTGTTTCTCTTACATGAAAACTCAGTACATACATAAAGTATGAAATGGGGGAAGGGAGAGGGAGAGAGGGTTATTATAATGTAATATGGACATGTATCTAAAAGTATTTTCACTTAGTACAACTGTTTTACATATTTTATATGTTCTTTAGTTCATTCTCTGGTTTTCAATTCATACAGATAATGATTAACTTTGTAAGGTCTTATAAATGAATGTGACGCTGGAAAAATGAAAGGGAAGTGGAGAGAAGTGAGAAAACAGAGTTGAAACATGCTAGGTACTCGCACCAATTTCCTACAGGGGATGTAATCATTATGTCCTGCAAATATGTACTAATTAAAGTAAAAAAAATTACCCATTAAAAAGAAAGCAAATAATAATTAAGTGCAAGGGCCCTCAGAAAACAAGAGGCACACTGTTTGAAAAATAAAAAGCACACTTCTGGGTGTGTCTGAGTATATCAGGAAGATGTGGCTTCAAGTCTGTCCCTGGTCCCTGCCCCTTCCTCCCAGGTCTCTTCCCCTACTCCTCTTCCTGGCCACCACGACTCAAACATCTTTGGGCTGCATCTCCTGCTGTGACGCCTCTCCTGGAGCCTGCCACGCACAGACAGAACCCCACGAGACCGTGAGTGAGATTAACCCTTTCCTGCTTCTGTTGTGGGTGTTGGTTATTGTTTCCCAGGGATAGGAATAATGACTCACACAAGTTCTAACCGATCAAAGTACATGGATAACAAGAGTGCTTTAAATTAATATTCTCTGTTTCACTGTGATTATATACTATTGCAATGAGATCACATTTGATTTCTTGTGGATCTTTTTGTTTTTCTAGAGTTAAAAGTTGCCTAATAGTCTTGTTTGCTAGTTTTTTCTACATACATTTCACGAATTTGGTTTTCGA